GGGAAAGAGTGTCTATGGATTAATTATACGAGCCCCTTCCCACTTCAGTTGGCCCAAGTATTGAAATCTTAGTTTTTTTCTTATCAAACACAAATAATAACAATGTAGCAAGGTGTTATAGGTTTAAAATATTAACATTGAATATTTTGATAATATATAGTAGAAATCACCAACTTTATCACTCCATAATCAAATTTGCAGCATAAAAATGACACATGTTGCAATTACAGCATATCAACCTATTTTCCTTTCAATGCAAAATAAGTCTATAACGCATAGGTGGCTGTTAAAAATAAAAGCCATGACAATTGTCTTTATTAATCACAGCTGTCAGAATACGTTTAAAATATACTAAGTGACATATAAATCCGAACACCCAGTTTAAATGGTTTTATTTTAATAAAATTTTGTATAAGTACTTAATGAAGCATAATAAGTAAATGATAAAAATTTCAAAATGATTGCACTGCTTTAAAGCCTTTGACCTTTAATAATGTGTGGATGCACCCTGATGTGCTACGCATTCTCCAACGCGCCTAGGCATGCTTCTGATCAGGTGGTCAATGTCCTCCTGTGGTATCTCATTCCAGGCAACCACCAACTCCTCTCGAAGTGCTTCTAGAGTCTGAGGAGGACGTTGCAAATTGAGCAATCTCCTACCCATCATATCCCACACGTGCTCAATTGGGGATAAGTCGGGAGATCTTGGTGGCCATGGTAACAATGTGACATCATTATCTTGAAAGAAGTCTATTGTGACTCTTGCAACATGTGGTCGGGCATTATCTTGTTGGAAAGTTGGATCTGCCAGGGTGTCAAGATAGGGTAAAAGATGGGGTTCTAGAACTTCGTGGATATAACGCTGCGCGTTCATGTTACCTCTGATGAAGATTAAAGGTGACCTGGAACCATGAGCTATAGAACCCCAAACCATAACTCCAACAGTGTGATGAACATGTCTTTCAACAAAAAACTGTGGATTCCTCCTTTCACCACGTCGCCTTCTAACCCTGGCACGACCATCGTGCATGCCTAAACAAAATCGAGACACGTCACTAAAGACAATACTGTTCCATTCCTCATCCCAGAGTGACCGTTGTCTGCACCCCTCAAGGCGATTACGTCGGTGTTCTCGAGTTAAAGGGAGGACCCAGTGTGGCCGGTGTGAAAACAAGCCAAAACTTCTCATTCGTCGGTAAAAACTTCGCATGCCAATAGGTCTTCCGTGTTCTGCAAACCATTCATTTGCAATGGACCTGGTAGTGGAGAAACTGTCCCTTAAGGCCAATAATCTTAGGCGGCGATCTTCATGGTCTGTTGTTCTACGGCGGCGTCCAGTGCCACTTGCTCTTTGCGTACGGCCTTCTCGAAGCCATGCCTGACAACACCTAACCACAGTGTCTACACTTCTTTGCACTCTAACTGCAATTGCCCGAAAAGAAAGTCCAGCTTCCCGAAGTCCCACTATACGGCCCCTATCAAACTCACTAAGTTGACGAAATCATACAGGTCTCCGTACTCTGGGCATCGTAACCGATCGTAAAGGATGTCAAGAACCAAAATCCGCCAACGTTGATTCTTTACTGCGGCTGAAATATTCATTTTTAGAGCGTTAGTGAATTAAAAAAAAGCAGTATAAAAACCGGAATGTCCAACCGATAAGGCTGAACATTTTTTCACTTGTTATTTACAGTGAGATAAATACATTCACCAACTTTTATTAAAATAAAACCATTTAAACTGGGTGTTCGGATTTATATGTCACTTAGTATAGATTTGGGTAGTTAAGGTTTTCAAAATGGGTAGAGGAAACGTTATTAGTGAGAAAATTCGGTTACTGATAATTAAATTTTTTAATTCCAGGAAATCAAACTCAGAAATTGCAATTTTGTTAGACTTATCGCGGTACAGTATGAGAAATATTGTTAGAAGATATAACATAACTGGTTCAGTTAATATTAAGCCACGATATGTGAAAAAAAGTAATATCACAAATGCCGACCGAAGAGCATTAAGAAGAATAATCGTGAAAAACAGGCGTGCCAATTATTTACAATTAAGTGCTCTGTGGAGTGACGCTGTTGAAAGGAGAATTTCGAGGTCCACAACTCACAGATAGGCCCACAAACTGGGATTTAGCACTTGCAAGGTAAGTTTTCTTATAAAAAAGTGAAGTAAAAACCCTAAAGTTGCACAACGTGTTTATAGGCCAAAGAAAAGCCACTATTAACTCCACTGCAAGAGAAAAGTCGGCTTAGATAGGCTAAAGAATATAGACAATGGACACATCAACAATGGTGTGCAATACAATGGAGTGATGAGGCCTGATTCGAAGTTTGTGTTGGTGACAGTCGCAGTAGGGTTATTCGCAAAAAAATTAAGCATTCTATGTTGACTGTCTGAAGAGAAAAGTGAAATTTCCAGCATCCATTATGGTCTGGAGCAGTATGTCATCAAAAGGAGTAGGAAAACTTCATTTTATTGATGGAAATGTGGATACAAACAAATATTTGGCAGTTTTAGAAGAATCGCTTTTACCAGTAATGGAAGAATGTTTGACACCCGGCCAAGATTTTGTGTTTCAGCAAGATGGTGCAGCGTGCCATACCTCAAAAAAGGCTATAAAATGGATGGAAAAAGATAATGTATCACTTTTGAAATGGGTTTCTAGCAGTCCAGATCTGTCACCTATTGAAACTTTGTGGCACGAGATGAAAAAGGTTCTACGACAACATCCTGCTCGTACAATCACCGAACTGAGACAAAAGCTTCAAGAAATATGGGATTGTTTCACACCAAATTTTTTCCAAAACTTGGTTAACACTATGCCCCAAACAATTTCAGCCGTAATAAAAAATAAAGGTGATGTTACCCAATGGTAATCTTTCAATTGTTGCTTTGTTAACTTCGCGCATTTATTTGCACATTGTTTATTAGTTCAGATGTTTTATTAGTTATAGGTCTAAGTGTTTTCAAATATGTATTTTTTACGACTAGGGTGTATCTAAAATGTTTTTGAGAAAATAAATTCTTTTAGAAGTAAATAGTTTCGACATGTTTGGTACAAATCTTGAAGTGGGCCAACTGAAATGGGAAGGGGGCTCGTATATGGATCTACTTGACGCTACTTGATTCATTGTATTTCTCTGTTATACGTGTATATGTTCGTAGCTAACTTTTTTTCAGAGGGTCTAACTTAAACATGCTGCTTTCGACCGTCCAGCCATGGATAGCTGTTTCGTACTTTTTAGCAACTCATCAGCATGTTCTAAGCTTGTTCTCTTGAACAAAGAACAGAAGCAAAACAACTATCATCTATCCAGAATATAAGGTCTAACTTGCGCTGCACATAAAGGCGAGCACCTTTATGAACTGATGACGGCGCTGCGTGAGAAGTGCAGAGTCAACCTACTTGACGCGAATTTCTTGTTACACGTTGCTGACTATACATCAAAAACTGATCGGTGTCACAGCTATTGTTCATAAAATATGGACAATGTAGGACAATCTACCAAAAGAGGCAGTTCTGCTAAATAAAAAATAATATACAATGTTTCTTCATACCTTGAAGTAAATGATTCTCGAGAAAGCTACTCTTTGGAATAAGTTCATCATTTGAACAAACTTTTAAGCCGGTATTTATTCTTCCAGCCCTGTGTTTTATGTTTCTCAGTTTTTTTCTGGTGTCGGATTACAATAAACTTGGATCGTTCGCATATTGTAGAAATTCTTAACACCAAAAACGGAACGCTACTGAATTCTCGCGATATTTTCAATTAGTAAGCGATCATTACAGTTTCCACTCCAATCTGGCGCACTCATTCACAGCAACTCATCTAAATTTTAAATTCTTTAATAACCTGGCCGCCTTCTAGATCAAAGAAACTCGATTTTTCCTCCCGAAAAATAAACAAAAAGGACATCCCAGCCGAGAAAGGGTGACTCCCCTCCAAAACCGTGATTTAAAGTACATAATCTAATATCTCGTATTTTCCTATAAGTCGTCCATCCCCTTTGCAATCTGGAATGTCGGCGAGGAAAAACTCTTTCGCTTTCCCGAGCTGAGCCGCTCGTTGCTATACCAAATCCGGAATGATTAGAAGTATTATCTAACGGATACATTTTATCTTGAATTCTTATCGTTCTTTGCAATTGCATTCCACCCTCTTTCAACGGGACCAACAGTAGCGTCGTTCCTAAAAAGCACTTGTACAACATGAAAGAAGCAAACTAAAATAAACAAGCTCTGCTTTTGTTCGTCCGGCCATGGACAGCTGTTTCGTGCTTTTTGGCTACTCCTCAGCATAGTCTAGGCTTGGTTCTCTCGGTCAATGAACAAAAGCATAGCAGCTATACACTTTCCAAAGTGTAGAAACTGTCGAATTAAGGCAGCGCGGAGCGCCATCTACCGCTAGAATCGACCACTGTGACCTCAGTAGGCTACCATTCACTGTTGCACAGTGGTCAGTTGTAGCGCTGTCTTATTTCTATAAAATGAGCACTTGTCATATTTTCGTTATTCTGTAAAAGCGTGGTAGAAATCGCAAGATATACAGTATTTTTCGCGCGAAATATGGGACTATTCAAAGATAACATACTTACTGAAACCTCTCGGCCATTTACGATGCGTGAGCGATGCATTTTGTCATAGTGGGTAGCGTCTGGTTGATTGCATGACACAAGATGACTGACCGCGCATGTTACTATTTATTACTTTTCTGTATTGTATACCCACAGACGTTAGTAACAGACACGAGGACAATATAAAAAATGGAGTTAAGTAAGTTGACTCTGCACTTCCCACGCAATGCTGTCAACAATTTATAGAAGATTATATTCGCTACAAGTTAGTTAAAAAGTCAAGTTTCGATTCTGTTATATCGTTACAGCGCTGTAAGTCTTACATCGCCTCTAACATTGTTAGCTTAAGTTTTTTTTTATACTCCAACTACCACGAAGGCCTAAGGCCTAAACACCCATTGAGTACCGTGGGGCTATAAGGGGATACAGGGGAAAGAGGGAACGCCACAGGGACTCTGGCGAGGGAACACGTGTGCATGCAACATGCATACATTCTGGCTCCGCCTACGAGATCCGCCGGGTGGTACCTCCGCGTTCGACAGTCAGAGGCCGTCTACCACCTACGGACAATCACAACATCCATATCCAAGAGAAAAATTCCTCCTGGGACGGGACTCGAACCCGCACAGCGCACGGCGACTTATCGGGAGACCGAAGAGTCTACTACTGCGGCCACCGTGCAAGTATACAGGGAAATCTATGTCTGGAATATGTAATAGGGCAGTAGAATTAGTGGGGTTGAAAGTGTTTACGTATGTATATTAACGTCAAAAAATTGAGACCCTATTCTTATCACTCGAAGACCTTAAAAATTAGCGGAAGTCTCTGAAACGTTAAAAGAACAAGTTTCGGCGATAATGTTTTGTTTTTGTTTTTTATCCATAATTATGATGCCGATGAATTGATTTTCGAAACCTACAAAACGTTTTTGTCCTTGGTATAGCAGTAGCTTTGTGTCAGAATTCTATCAAAATCCGAGGAGTACTTTTCCATGTTATAGAGAGATTGAGGGTAACCCAACCGACCGACAGACAGACATACCGACGCACATGAGTGACATCGTTTTTCGTGATGTAAGTACATGTCATGTAACACCAAAAAAAAAAAAACTTGTTTCATTTTCGAATTTCCTTGCGACTACAATACTTCCTCGCCAGTATGCGTGACAATTTAAAAAAGATTATATTAGGTGACTGGTGAATTCCCGATCACCCCGAAAAGAAATTTTAGGGGTCGAAAAACCAATTTATCCATGATCTCAGATATGATCTAGATCTAGGCAATGACATTTGGAGGTCAATTGTAAATTTAAAAAGCAACCTCCATTTTTGATAGCTGATTCATGTCGAGCTCGAGATTCTACATCATAATCGATTTTCATGCATGAGGCCAAGCGATAATGAGTGGTTCAATCGGCATGATCGACCGTAACATCTGAAAATTTGGTAACCATACATTCTTTTGGAAAAAAGATTCAGAGAGAGGTTTCAGGGAATCAAGTAAGCAATTTGTCATTGAACTCAGACATGATCTATAGAATCTAGACAATGACATCAAAAGTCATTTGGTGGTCAACTTTGTAAATTCAATTAGCAACCACCATTTCTGACAGCAGATTTGTATCGGGGTTGAGATCTTACATTAGAATCCATTTTCAAGTATGAGGTCAGGCGGTCATTAGTAATGTGTGCGCCCCAAACACTCCATAGCTATGCATTTTGAAATAAAGTTCAGATATCAAAAAGGAATGTTGTTATAACATGTATTGACAGCTAACAAGTTTAATTAGTCAAATTTAACTCCTAGTTCTAAGACACTTTACTTACTTGATTAAATTTAATTAACCGGTTACTTAGATTGATTGCATCAATTTATTTAAAATTAGTGAGCTATTAAAATGAGCTTACCTGATCAAAGTTATCATTTCTATTAAAATTGCTTAATCAATTTACGTAAAAGTGTTTGTCTATTTATCATGATTTATTTTATTTAGATTTAAAAGGATATTTGGATAATATTTGGATATTAAAAGAAAAAATGGATTTTACAGTGCACCGTCCTCTTTGCTAGAAAATCACAGATAGAGTTGGAGAGAATGAAGGACCAAGTTCTGCCGAGCTTGCCATTCAAATATAGATTAACTGTTTTTATAAAAAAATGTTCTTTATTTGCCTTTTCTACATAAATTAAATTACCTGAACTAATTATTGAAAACTTTAATAAAACAGGTACATGTTTTATTCTTAAAAAAAATAATATATTATTTTCAATTAAACAGGTTCCAGAAAATTCATCTTAATAAAACTGAATGATTTAGTTAACTAGAATAATTAAAAGACTTATTGCGGGTAATAAAATTTTAAAGATCAACTGTTTAATTTACCACGTTTTCTCAGTGTGACCATCCAAGATGATAAAAAGTGCGTGATTGCTACGTTTTCGGAGTGTTCGTGTATTTTTCAGACATTACTGTAGGTCATGTAGATTATACCGCTCGTGACCACTTGCAAGCACTCTGATGTAGAATCTTCGGGTCGGCACGAATGTCAAAAGTGGCAGTTACCATAGGAATTTTACAAAGTTGACCTCCGAATGATGTTACCCACAAATTGCTTTTTTGATACCCCGAAACTTTTTTTGGAACTTTCTTGCCAAAAAATGTTATTTATCTATTCCTATACAATCCAGGCACGATCAGTATTATAGGGATGCTTGGACTTAAATGATGCGCAAAATAGATACCTACTAATTTCTTTTGTGGCATAGGAAGTACCTCGTCCAAATAAAAATCTTTTAAAATATTCCATTCTACAACACTTCAATGGTCAAAGGTACGCCACTGATTCAAGAGCTCTTTTTCGTTTCATCTGGGCTGAGGAAAGATCCCGGAGAGCCTGAAGAAAAGGACAAGGGGATGTAAATTAGCCATTTTCATTTATTTCGCCCTCGTTTTAACTTTGTTTTTTATGCCGTTGTTTTCTTTCTATCCTTTCACGACTAATGGCATGCTATTCCAGAGGAATAATGTAACTCTAAGTGCAATTTGTATCTTGAAGTTCCTATTCAGATAGAATGTTCTGTGCTTTCAATGCTGGTTTGTTTACTGAGAGACTGAAGCATCCATAATGAAGTGATTGATAGTGGTTAAGCGTGGAAATTTTTGCATACGTCATCGGCTCTTAGCTGTTGATGCTTATAAGGTGGTCGATGTATTAGTTTTAAATAGCATGACAAGAAAACGGGGTTAAGTAGATTGACGCAGCACATCCTATGACGACTTAATATAAATATTTATATGCTAGTACAAGAACATTGTAATCATTCTTAGTGACAGATATGTGAAAAAGTCCTAAAATGTGTGAGTCCCTAAAAAGCATTCTACTGTTGCCTAACGTGATCAGAAAATTGAAAAACTTGAAATAAGCCTGTTTTGTATTTTTATAATACATAGTATCCCTTCTACAAATATTTTATTAACTACGCTCAAAAGTGATCAAAATATTAAAAGAAAACATCGAAAAACGAAGTTTGTGGAAACCTTGTGAAATTTTTGCCTTTTCGCTCGTAGCCGACGCCACTGAACTGATTTTCGAAACCGATAAAACTTTTCTATTTTTGACGTTGTGATAACCTCGTGCTGCAATTTTTACAAAATCTGAACAGTACTTTTCCATTTATAAAAGAGACAAGGATTACCGGACATACAACGAAATAAATCATATTTCTGCTTTAATGGCAAATATATGGAAAATCTAGCGACATCATCTCTAACATTAATAATAACGTCTTCCGTTGTTACCAAAAATGCAGCATTTACAAACCCTGACACATATAATCTCCAACGCCTCAAACCACAATTTACATCAACTAAACGAAAAACAAAATTTTAGCTGTTCACATTTTCATTTTTCCCCACAACTCGGCCGCCACAGGATCAATTATTAAAACTCGCAAAGCTTTATCGTTAGCTTGAATCAAAATTCAAGCTATAGAGGCGTCAAGAATTAGTGGGCGCACAGATAGACAGATATGTACATATTACGTAAAAGCATTCGGGCTTCTGAATTCTGAAAAATACTATCTCCATCTATGAGACAGTAACAGCAGAAATTAACTTAGAAATCTCTTTTGGCGGTTCTAATGTCTATTGTAATTGGATATGTTCCGGCGTAAGACGTTGCCCGAACTTGCCCAATTAAAATAGGCGTTAAATAGGCGGGAAAAGGGGCTGAAGGTACTAGCGCCATCCATGAGTCAGTAGCAGAACCAAACACTCTAACTCACTCAGAGTAGATTTATAAATTAAATTTGTTGTTCTCCTGCAGTCTCATGGATGGAGCTAGTATCTTCCAGTTTTTGTCCGCCGGAATAAAGTATATGGTTGGCTGTTTTGATTGGCTAAGTGTTGGATCCAAAAAAGATAAATATTCAACCAAATACCCTTTCCGAAAAAGAACCATTACAGAGTCGGAAAATATAACGTTCTCAGGGCTTTCCTTCGGAAATTTACATGCCTCCCGACACTGTCACCCTTAGTAATATCCTTCCAAGTCCGTCTAGAAAAGGCTTTTTAATTTTCTCCATCTGGCTATCCTGGACGGATATAAATGACTGTTTTGTCTCCTCCACAAACAAAATACTCCTGACGTTACTTTATTCGGTTTAGAAACTCAAAATCCGTTTATTAATTTTCGTTGTAGAGGATGGGGTAATGGTGTTTTTGTTGATGTATTTTCCTAACGACGAATCTTGTTTACATTTACGACCTAAGAGGATGGAACAATTGCTCCAGTTTCAGCACTATCAAACTGTTATTTCGTAATACTCCAAGAGCTGACAACATCCATCCTAACGATTTTTTTTTAAGAAAAAGTTAGTGCTCCACATCCCGTGCATAGCACAAGAGGGCCTTTTCAGATTACGATCCGCGGTAATTGTTAATAATAGTAGCATAGAAACAAAATTTTACCTCCTTTGTCGATAAAACGTTTATAATAACATACAGAGTGTCAATGACATACGGATATTCCAGAATACGATTCCTCAATTAGCTTTATGAAGAAAAGTTTATATGTTGAGTGTTGAATTACTTTAAGCATTATTTTTAATTCTACCTTATTATACGTGTGACATATTTTAGTTTAAAAAATAATCATGTTGTGTCACAAGTGGCATCCCTGCAAACGTATCTTTAATAAGAGGCAGCGCGCTTTTGTAGCTAACCGAACCAAAAAGTAGAATTTAATTCTTACAAAGAGTTTATATTACAGTAGTAGATGGTCGAACAATCAATAATAATTAATGATCTCAAAATAAAATTATATTAAAATTTAAGTTATAAGCAGAATATCTAGAGACTATCTATGAAAGGAGAGTGATGAAAATGTAACAAAATTCACCGCACGCTTTTTACTCTAAATTGAATTATTCTGTTGATAACTTACCTTTATTATAATTTTATTTTGACGTCATCAACTATGATTGATTGTTCGACCATCTACTACTGTAATATAAGGTCTTAGTAATAAAAAATGATGATTATCTACTTCTACTTCGGTTA